AACAAAATGACAGCAACTTGTCTGTTCCCCTTCCCCCAATTCCCCAGCACTGTTCCCATCCCCCCAATTACCCAATAAAAATCTTTAAAAAAAAAAATCTATACCTAAAACATTGGGGAATATAATCAAAAACACTTAATAAATTAGATGTCAATGACTAAAAAGAAGTAAACAAGAAAGATATATCCCAGTATTTTATCTTTAGCAATTGCATTTATGAGGTTGCTATTTCCTGAGATGAAAGCAAGCAATAAACACTTTCATAGAGAAAATCAAAAGTTCAGTAGGATATGTTAACTCTACAACATCTAAAAGAGATTTAAGTGGATATGTCAACAGGCTGTTAGATATGTAAGTGTGGAATACAAAGAAAAGGCTACCAATAACTATGGAAGATATTAGCCTATGATACTTAAAGCCATCGGATTGATGAAAAGTACCCAGAGCAAGTGAACAGTAAGTGAAGAGAAAGAAAAAGAAAATTAGAACTAAAATTCAACCTGAAAAACTTTAAGAAATCTAAGTTCAAGAAAGGAAGAAAAACTGGCAATGGAGACTTAGAAGGATGATACAAAGGGGAAACCTTTGTCATATGTTAAGTGAAGAGATCGTTTAAATCTGAGGATAAGGTGACTGTCACATGCCAATGGAAAGTCAAATAAGATAAAAGAAAAACACTGAATTTGGAACTCTCTTCTCATCAGTGAACATGAAGAAGTAAAGACAAAGCAAGTAGACAATTCTTTCAAGGTGTCTTACTATAGAAGGGAGAAAAGAGAACACAAAGTAGAAAGGGGTGAGATCAGGAAAAACTCTCTCATAAGCTTGGATATCTAGCACTTAAGCTGTTGTAACAATCCTACGGAGAAATGCTAGTGGTGCCAGACACGGAAGGGATAACAAAACCTTATGAAAGCCAGAGGGGAAACTATGTAAGGAGCCTGGCTTTGTAGAAGGAACACGCCCTCCACTGTAACAGGAGGGAGGAATAAGATGGCTTTAAGACGATTTCTGAATTTGGTGTTGGGAAGATGAGTAACCTCCTTTCTGGTGGTTTTCATTTCAACAAGGTCATGAGATAAAAGCGAGATGAGAAGCAGGTATGGGAGTGTGAGGAGTGGCAAAAATTATCAAATAAGTGTTATAAAGGAGATGTAGTTTACAAGGGAAATATGGGATTTAGGGGATGATGTTGAGTGCCTATTTGGCAATTTTATTTATGAATTTTCAGTGATATCTACTCTGTCCAGTTATATGATTTCTCTTCATGTCTACCAACTCAATTAAATTCTAATTAAATATTCATGTTTATTATTATACATGCTCTGGTTCGTGAAGACTGTATAATATTCATAACTCTATTATTTAAAAATTAACTGTGCCTAATCAATATCTACATTTTACTTTAGTACTTTACCCCAATCAAATTAGTTTTCTTTTATACTAACCCTACAGACTATGTCTGTGATGAATTTCACTTATAGTATTAAAAAGAAAAAAATTAATTTTAAAAGAATCAAACCTGAGTTGATTCAGAATCATCTCTTTGACTTGCAACAATTAAATAATCTTGACTATCTGAAGTAAAATATCTCACTTGAGAACTTTCTGAAATAATGATTGTTTGTACCTGCAAGGAAGACAGAACAGTGGGAATAAAAATTTAAGGGAGAATTTAACTTAAAAAGGTCTCTCAGTACAATAATACTATGAGTCAGTATTTGAAGGTCAAAACTTTAAAAACCATGCTGATCCCTAGATATGCCTATCTAGGTGTCATTTCTAGAAAAACAAAAATATCCCTAGGTTAAGACACATACATTATCTTACATTTAATCACACAAATCTAATTTTCTTTTAAATGAAGGAATCTACAAAAAATTTTATTCTTTTTTTTAAATTTTTTTACCAGCAATAATTTGAGTCCAGATGTGAATGTATACACACTATTAACAGAAGGCTTTTCTTCATTTCTTTCTTCATGAGTTATCACAAAGTAGGGAGAAAGACCAATATTAAAGGCCTCACAAGTTTTAGGATTTTCTATACTTAAATCCTAGGAAATAAGGAATAATAATAATAATTAGTGAGTTATCCCAACTTTACATGTACATTTTAGTTTGCATATTGAAAAATAAACAATTCTTACCTCAAGTGGAATAAAAACCCCTTGCCATCGGTAAACAGTAGAAGACAATTTTCTTAACATTACACCATATACTGAATCTTCCAAAGTAAAGAAACACCAGCCAGAAGCTGACNCCATGACAATGCACTTGGCTTCTTTGCCTGATTGCCACTGGCCCACCCAAGTGGTTCCATACCAACCTTTAATAATCCTACAACCTCCAGACTGCATTAATCCCTTGGGTTCTCACTAACAGACTCTGCTTCAGAAACCAAATTAAAAACACTGCTTATACTTCTAATGTGTAGATTAAAGTAGAGAGAACCAAGAAAGGATTTCAGACAGTGGGGAAAAGTTGGGAGAGTAACCAAGGTCAAGAGTTCTCACAATCATTTTCTGACTTTTCAAAAAAAGTTATTCAATGCACATACTTGCTATCCCCTTATAAATACTTTCATAATTAAAAAGTGTATATGTAATATCACTCTTCATTTTTCTCTAGACAAAAGTAACGTATTATCTTTCCTTACCCTTCACTAACATTTTCCCCCATATTTTAGTCATTCTAATTCTTCTCAAGCATAATGCTCATTTTAAGAGTGTCAGTCCTTTTGAAATTCTAGGATTTCTGGATTTTACTTTTGTATTAAAATGCCCACTGTCTGGCAATGTGACACTATCTCTAATTCAGTGAAATTAAAATCATTTTAGCTTTCCTCGCTGCTGCCCTTAGCATTAGTTAGCAGTTAAAAAGCACTTACCTATTCCTGAGGCTGGTGTGAAGGAGTGGATCTTATTAACAGCAACAAAATCCAGGGATTGAAAATATCTAAAAGAAGACCGTCCTGGCTCCCAAATGAAAATATCAATTGAACTCTGATCTCCTGTAATAATGGAATAAAAGTCAAATATGAAGCCTAAAGTTGCAGAAAAAGACAAAATTACACAGTAAAACTATAATAAAATATTAAATTTAATTTAAAAAAACATATTTAGTGGGACATCCCTCAGAAATCATTTAAATAGAAATATAATTTAGTAGAAAACACTTCAAAAGTCTTTTTGCATTTACCACATGAAGTGTATACATGGTTAGCCAATAATCATGATCTGATATCAAAGAAGAGTAAGTAATAAATATTCTATTTTTCAGGACTGTTGGTATTTTATCTATGAAAGTTCCACTAAGCAGAAGAAAACATATTCGTATTTAATTAATATTTTTAAACAGCCTTATCAAAAGTTGCTAAGCCCTATTTATCAGTACTATAAATTACCCATGGCACCCCAAGTACAGCGATATAAATGTTACCTGTTTATGCTTTGGGCATAATATCTTCGTAAAACTTTTCGTAGACCTTTCTACTTTACCCACCCATCCCCAATTTTATCATAATATCTTTAAAGTAGTGTTTCAGAACACCTAATGAGTATGGACATAACACTAAATTTTTTTCCCCAAAATCCATTTACAGTTGACAGCCAGTACTTATCCATAAAAAACATTCTATGGATTAGATAAAAAATTATTACAAGAGCATTTTCATATGAACGTACTATTTGAATGCGAGATGATTTTGATAATAATTATGTATGCATCACAAACATTGTATCGTCTCACCTAGAAAGACAGTTTTGGCAAAAATTAAGTAAATATCATCGCCTGCAGTCAAGGCCTTGACTTCTGTTGTCCCACTGATCGGCACTTCTTGAAAGTTAATAAACTCACTGCCAGACCATCTGAGCAAAAGGGAATTGGGCCTGGCATTAGCCTGGGTAATGGCTAAGAACACAGATCCTCCTCTGGTGAACAAGGCCATACTCAGCACACCTCGGACATGCAGTGTCTGATACAACACAAAGTTTCCTCCATCCCATCTGAAGACCTATAGAGAATGTTCAAATAGAAAACCCTCATGACAAGGAATTTGACACTTGTGAGCATTTAACCAATATCATATGTTTATTCTCCTGGATGTTTTTATTTAGTTAGGAAGACACTTTCATAAATGAGAAAATAGCAAAACTGATGCCCTCTCCCTCTTCCTCTTTCTCTCTCTCTCACTGTATACGTGTGTGTGTGTGTGTGTGTGTGTGTGTGTGTGCACGCGTGTGTATGCACATCAACGCAGAATGAGTTTTAAAGAGAAGTTATTTAAAAATAAATCAGTTTTAAATATATATCTAGGAAGGGTCAATGATAACAACATAAAGGTAAAGCCAAAAATAGGAGAGAATTAATTTAAATGCAAAAAATTTAGAACTGGATAATAAACTTTTTGATACTGTAATATCATTCATTACCCTCTGCTCTTTACATATTCTATTGCGCAAGCAATAGAATATAAAGACAAACACCTAATTGTTTTAGTCCTGAATATGGAAATGCATGCAAGGTTTCATTCAGGGTAAGTCTTCGTATATTTAAATGAATAGAAAATCTCAAAGCTACATAGTTTCTTATATAATCTGGTAAATTTCACAAAAAATTATATTTACTCAGTCAACAATTGGTAACCTTATATGAGCCAAGCATTATGCTAGGAGTTATAGAGATAGTGGCTTCTCCCTTTACAGATATTAAGTATTAGGAAAAAGTAAAAAATAAATAAATAAAAAATTAAATAAATGTTAAAAATCAATACAAATGCTAAAAATAACAATTGGCATGCTGTGATAGAGAATTACGGGCGCACTAAGGAAACAAAAGTAAAGAAAATGACATGACTAAATTTTCAAGGCAGAAAAAACCTGTCATAATCTAAACGAAGACTTGTCCAACTAGAAGAAATTGCTAGTGCTGAGGGAATGAAGACCTATAAAACTAGAGAGGAAAGATCATGAGGCAACTTTCATTAGGGTGACCATATAATTTATCACATGAAAACATGAGAGAGTGAAAAGGACAATGTTAATAATTATATCAGGACAACAGGCATAATCTAATACTGTGCTGGGAAAATAAGGAGATGCAGTTATCCTACTTATAATCCATATTAAATAACTTTAAATTTATTCTAAGTATAATTAGAAATCATTTAATAGTTCTAATATAAAGAATAACATGAATTAATATGTTTAAAAGATTACTCTGGCTACTTGATGAAGAATGGATCTCAAGGAGTCAGAGAAGAAGTTCAAAGACCAGCTAGAGGCTACTTTAATAGTGTGGGACAAAAATGAAAGGGACCTAAATTTGGGAAGGAGAAGCAGAGATTAAAAAAAAAAAAAATCTGGGCCGGCGAGTGGCGCGATGGTTAAGAACTGGCTTGGGATGCCAGAGGGCCCCGGTTCGGATCCCACATATGAGGGCCAGTGACACTGCCCTCCACAGTTAAGAT